TTGTGCCAGAGCCTAAGTTATGTGTGTACATCCGTTTTACTGGCTTATTTGCGTGCAGTTGGTTGTTCCTTGTTGCTCAGGGAGATGCACTTCGACTTGGAAAGAAACCCCCCCCCCCCCTTTTCCCATTTTTCCCAATTTAGTCAACTCCTACGACATGCTTCTTTTTAGAGGCAGTGGATCTATCACACCCCCCCCCCCCCTCCTCCCTCTACCTCTCATAAAGGGAGCCTCAGAACACACACGAGGCGTAACAGTTAAATGAGGGCAGCACACAACGGTTACTAAGAAAATTATATACTGTAGAATACGCCTAGCTGATCGGGGTTTCTAAGGTTTCCTCCTTTAGATTCGCATCTAAACAGCGGCACTTTCAGTCACTTGTTTTCTGTCGTCCTATGATACTAGAAAGAAAACTTAAATGGGGCACTAGTTGTCGCAGAGTGTAGAGCCTTCATGGTTCAGTGAGTCGGGGGGTGAAGTGCATGAGGGCACTTTGAAATGATACAAAAACGACTACTGTCAACTTTAACCTGAATGTTGCAAGTAAGAAATGGAGGTAAAAGAGGGACATGTTTCGTGGTTTCACAGTGACCCAGTTAACGGGCACTTCAGCTCGGCAGGTATGGTCGATATCTGACTGGTTTGGCAGTGTCAGGATCGCAACCAGGTCGCTAGGTTAATGTCACTGCTGCAGTTCAGCACAAGGCATTTGACAAACTTAACTACAGCCACTCGTGCTGTCATCTGTCAACAGATAGACCCGGGGACCCAGGTAGTGCTTGGATATTATTCACCTGTGTTACGCTTGAAGGAGTTTAATCATGGCAGACACTCAACCAGCTGAAAGACGACAGACTACACACCTGTTCTGTTGGGCAGGGCATCTGTTAAAGACTGAAGGTAAGCTATATGACAAAAACTGTTAACATTTTAGTGGCTTAAAATCACCAGTACTGCTGTGTGTATGTCTCCTAGTGTATTTAATATTAATCGTCATCATAGTGTAGTGAAGTGACATACCTGTAGAAGTTGGCGATCATGATTAACCATCCAACACCAGTGTTATCTATCTGACCAGGTTAGGTTGTAGTAGTACTAGTACTTCTAGTGAATTTGTTCCAGTTGTGAAAATTGATAAGCCATTTATGTCTTTGTCTTCATATTTATTATTTCTCAGCAAATATGCCAACGAAATTTATGTGCATACCTTTTCATTATATTTGCCTAGATTAAGAAGTTAGACTACTTAGACTTAGATCGTCGATGATCTAATATCTTTCTTTACTGTGCATGACATGATCACAGCTGCGCCCTTCTCTCACAAACTACGTCTTTTTTGTCAGCTGATTTAATCTTTAGTACACATTAATTCAGTTTCCCCCTATAAATTACACCTGTGTCGCTAAGTTCGTTTTTAGCTCAGATTATGTGCATTGTCACTTCATTTCCTTATCTTTTCAGCTGTCTGATTTTTTGTCTTCACATTCTGTGTATCCCCTCATAAACTATATCTCTTTCGCTATATGATTTTTTTCTCTCCTCAGTTCACAGTCTGCTTATTTTCTCTAGTACGTCATTTTCAACCTTCTTTAGCTGGTGCCTTCCTGGAAAATAGGGTAAAGAACCCCCACTTAAATTTAAACCTTAAAAAATATGATTAAAAAAGGACAAAAAAAAACCCAACCAAGCACTAATAATAGTATTAACAGGAACTGTGTTGTCCTAAAACAGACAGAAAGAAAGCATGCTCAGAGGTTTTGAGGGAAGACTTCTTAGAAGATTGTTGGTGTTCACATGGGAAGATAAAATCAGCAATTCTAGATTACAACAAATGGCAGACTTAGAAGATGTAAATTTATAAATCAAAAAGCGAAGATGGAGGTGGACTGGGACACATCCTCAGAATAAAGAAAGAGAGATGGCCGAGACAGGCAATGAAATGGACACCACAAGGACAGTAAGGAAGAGGTGTCTTTAGGTGTGATGGGCATATAGAGCTAGACCTATATTTCATAGACCAGTCAGCACCCAGTGGGTGATATGGTCAACATCACACCAGCTGTCTATGTTTGCCAGGACTTGACCTGGTACTAATTGAAGGTTGGATGGGCCAAAGTCATTTTTAAAAAACAAATCCTGTTCCTTTCAGATTTTAACCATGACCTTGGGATCCACAGACACAAATCTAGCCGCTACACCATGGTGGCTCCCACATGACCATGTGTTAGCATTTACAGAAACATGTCACAGCCGAGTGACTAGATTTAGCCTTCTTGGGGTTAACAAAAATAGTGTTTAAAAAAAGGATGGGAAAAAAAACAATCAAGCACTATTAACTGGAACTGTGTTGTCTTAAAATGGACAGAAAGATAGAGAGCATGCTCAGAGATTTTGAGGGAAGACTTTTTAGAAGATTGTTGATGTTCACATGGAAAGATAAAATCAGCAATTCTAGATTACAGCAAATGACATGGTGCAGCAGTTAAAGTGAGAAACAGATTGGGTCCTTTGGACAGATAAAGGAGTAAGACAAGCATGTGTCTTATCCCCAGAGCTTTTTTCTCTATATAGTGAAATAATTTTGAGGGAAATTAAAGAGAATGCAGGAGTAAGAGTTGGAGGATACAATATAAACAATTTACATTATGCAGACGATACAGTTTTGATAACTGAAAATGCAACTGATTTACAACAACTGCTGTATATTGTGGGGATGGAGAGTGCCAAGAAAGGATTTTCATTGAATATTAAGAAAACAGAAGTAATGGTTATATCAAAGAAGAAGATAACTCCACGTTGTGAAGTCAATAAATTTAAATATCTGGGAACAATCATATCATCAGATGGAAAACGTGTGACAGAGATTAAAAGCAGAATAGGTCAAGCAAAAGCTGCATTTCAAAAAATTAAAAATATCTTATGCAATAAATCGCTCTTATTCGATGTCAGAAAGAGGGTGCTAAAATGTTACATAGAACCTGTTCTACTGTATGGCAGCGAATCTTCAAATGTCAGTAAATAAATTAGGAAGAATTTAGAAGCAACAGAGATGTGGTTTCTGAGATGAATGTTAAAATACCTTGGATGGCCAGAGTAACTAACAACAATTGCTTGAAAGAAGCTAATGAAAGTAGATCTCCATATGCAACAATAAGAACGAGACAAACACTGTTCTTTAGCCACATAATGAGAAGAGAGACATTAGAAAACATTGTGACAACTGGAAAGATCAGTGGAAAAAGGGGTTGAGGCAGACCAAGAGAGATGATGCAGGATGGGCTGAAACGATGGCATGGAGGGATATCATCAAGAGAGCTGTTCCAGGCAACCAGGGATCATGATCTGTGGAGATGCATGAGCACCTACACCAGTTGGCAAGACACATAATGATCATGATGGAGTGAAACAAGTTATATCATCAGCCATTCTAGGCCTTGAGATATGAGGTGGGAGACAAGCTCACTTCCTCATCATCATTCCTCCCTGGACAGTTTCTAGAGAATTGTGGAAATTATCTGGTACCTCATCAAGTGGGTTCTGGGGACCCATGTTGAGAGCAAAAAGAATAGACTCACTATCTCTCTAACTAGCATGTCAGTCAAGGCCACTAATTAATGGAGTTTCTTTTGAGATCAGAGTTCATTTGCCTGAGAGGCGAAGAAGGAACGATCAGCAGACCTTTCCACAAGAGTTTACAGCTGGGTAATGTAAGAAGAAAAAGAAGATCTAGTAGCTAATTTTGTTAGTCTGTGTTGACCTCAGGAGCCATATTGGCATGGACAGATCCTGCTACTTTTGCTTCTTCTTCTTAACATTCGCTAGCTGTAAACTCCAGTGGAACGTTCTTGTTTTTCATCCACTTCTGGACTTTTGTCTTGTTCCAGAAAGTGAGCTTTGCATTCATATCCATTTTACAGATCTGGCTTATTTGTTTGCAGACTGTTGATTCCTCGCCTTACAGGCAGATGCCCTCTGTCTTCTAAGGAAGCATCCCCAACTAGTTGACTCTTAGGACATACCGGTTAATGGAGCAGTGGGTTGAATCTTTGTCGTATGTTCTGTTACGTGAGCTGAAACTCAGTTTAACCCAGCTTAGTATTCCATTTGTTGGGTGTTTCCATTTCACAGTTATTGTAATTGTATTGTCCCCATGTGGGTTCCAGAGCCCTATTATAGCGGGGGAAAAAAAGAATAGACCCACTGCCTACTTAAAAGCATGTCATAAGAGTCAACTAATTGGGAGCTTCCTTCAGAGTTGGAGTGCATCTGCCTGAGAGGCAAGGAACCAGCAGTGTGCATACAAATGAGTCAGACCTGTAAAACGGATGCACACGCAACACTTAGGTTCTGGAACAGGACTGCAGTCAAAAAGTGGATGAACAACCAAAACATACAGCTAGTAAAAGCAAAGAAGAAGAAGAAAGAAGTAATTGTGTTGCAACTAACATTTCTTACATCGTCATCATCATGTAATAGGAGGTCATAAGAAAATCACTGCCGTTACGGTCTGCCTGAAAGATACTCTTGTCTAACACCAACTGTCTTGCCTCATGTACTTACCTACCCCAGGGGTCACTTATTTCATGTGTCCACCCCTCCTTTCCTGGTTCTGTGCCTTCTGCTACTATTTTGTCCAGACCACCTTGGCAGTTAGTATCACCAAAAATATAAATATAAAAATATTATACTTTCCAAGGCAAAAATTTCTTGTGCATCTTGCAATAATTAATAACAACCTACTCCTGAAAAAAAATTGTAAAAAATAAATAATTTGTAAAAACTTAAAAAAAGAAATGCACAGCTTTACCTTTAGTTAAACCATTCCTTTACATTTATATTTCATATACTTACGTTTCTACAAATTTACTGCAGTTAAACTTATATTATTTGCTCTTCTTTTTCAGATGCTGTCTGTTAGTCGTATCAGTAAAGAACAGTTTATTGTGATAACAAGAATAAATTGAAAACAGCAATGTTCTTCAAACATCAGTCGTAAAATGGAGGCAGCAGAACAGTTGTGGCTCTTATTTGTTTTTTCTTTTATAATGGATACAGGTAAAAAAAAAAAATGACAATCCACACAAATAAAATTATTATTAAAAAGGGCATGGGGGGAGGGGCTTTTCCACAACTTTAGGCGAAATGGACAAATACTGCCAGACCAATAAATTATAGACCAATCAGCACCTGTTGGTTGATGTGGCCAACATTGCGCTGACCGCCTTTATTTCCCCAAGACTTTTATCTGGTATGCACTTATGGCTGGACTGATTTTGAAGCCAAAGTAATTTTTGAAAATAGTTTGGCTCCATTCGGATCGAACCCACAACCTTCAGATCCACGGGTAAGTGTCTAGCTGCTACACTATGATGGCTGTAAAAATTACAAAAGCCAAAACACATGTTATCATTAAGACCAGGACTATTTAATGAAGTATACTCTGGGACCAACATTTTGAAAATGTAGATTGTTACAGATCAGAGACTCAAGCCTCGGTGTAGAAAGATCATCAGTGCAACTGGCAGTGATCTCTGGGCCATTTGCTAGGTCTTTGGAGGCCAGACTTCGCCTTCGCTTGACAGTTCAATAGCCCTAATTTAGATAGCAGGAGTTGGCAAAACAAACCTATGTTTAAAAAAAAAAAAAACTAATCTGCATCAGACATTTTTTTCCTTTGAAATTGGGACATAGATCGACTCAGCGTTAAAAAAAAACTTAGCAATGTCTAGGACAGTAAATCTGGCCACTGTGATGTTGACCACTGTAGCCACTAAGGCCTGACTGGTCTATGCAAATATGAGCCCAGCATTATATGCCAGCTGGTCCTGCCATTAGGGAAGGATAATTTACTTTACTGTACTTATGTATAGATTAGTCTATAGTAGATAATTACAAATCTAGAAGGCTGTTCTGCAACATTGGCACATTGTGTTGTCATTTACTGCGAGCTGCAACATTGGCACATTGTGTTGTCATTTACTGCTGAGTTGCAACATTGGCACATTGTGTTGTCATTTACTGCTGGGCTGCAACATTGGCACATTCTGTTGTCATTTACTGCTGGGCTGCAACATTGGCACATTGTGTTGTCATTTACTGCTGGGCTGCAACATTGGCACATTCTGTTGTCATTTACTGCTGGGCTGCAACATTGGCACATTGTGTTGTCATTTACTGTTGGGCTGCAACATTGGCACATTCTGTTATTTACTACTGGGCTGCAACATTGGCACATTGTGTTGTCATTTACTGCTGGGCTGCAACATTGACACATTGTGCTGTCATTTACTGCTGGGCTGCAGGCACATTGTGTTGTCATTTACTGCTGAGTTGCAACATTGACACATTGTGTTGTCATTTACTGCTGGGCTGCAACATTGGCTCATTGTGTTGTCATTTACTGCTGGGCTGCAACATTGGCACATTGTGTTGTCATTTACTGCTGGGCTGCAGGCACATTGTGTTGTCATTTACTGTTGGGCTGCAGGCACATTGTGTTGTCATTTACTGCTGAGCTGCAACATTGGCACATTGTGTTGTCATTTACTGCTGGGCTGCAACATTGGCACATTGTGTTGTCATTTACTGCTGGGCTGCAACATTGGCACATTGTGTTGTCATTTACTGCTGGGCTGCAGTCACATTGTGTTGTCATTTACTGTTGGGCTGCAACATTGACACATTGTGTTGTCATTTACTGCGAGCTGCAACATTGGCACATTGTGTTGTCATTTACTGTTGGGCTGCAACATTGACACATTGTGTTGTCATTTACTGTTGGGCTGCAACATTGGCACATTGTGTTGTCATTTACTGCTGGGCTGCAACATTGACACATTGTGTTGTCATTTACTGTTGGGCTGCAACATTGACACATTGTGTTGTCATTAACTGTTGGGCTGCAACATTGACACATTGTGTTGTCATTTACTGTTGGGCTGCAACATTTACACATTGTGTTGTCATTTACTGTTGGGCTGCAGGCACATTGTGTTGTCATTTACTGTTGGGCTGCAACATTGACACATTGTGTTGTCATTTACTGTTGGGCTGCAGGCACATTGTGCTGACATTTACTGTTGGGCTGCAACATTGACACATTGTGTTGTCATTTACTGCGAGCTGCAACATTGGCACATTGTGTTGTCATTTACTGTTGGGCTGCAACATTGACACATTGTGTTGTCATTTACTGTTGGGCTGCAACATTGGCACATTGTGTTGTCATTTACTGCTGGGCTGCAACATTGACACATTGTGTTGTCATTTACTGTTGGGCTGCAACATTGACACATTGTGTTGTCATTAACTGTTGGGCTGCAACATTGACACATTGTGTTGTCATTTACTGTTGGGCTGCAACATTTACACATTGTGTTGTCATTTACTGTTGGGCTGCAGGCACATTGTGTTGTCATTTACTGTTGGGCTGCAACATTGACACATTGTGTTGTCATTTACTGTTGGGCTGCAGGCACATTGTGTTGACATTTACTGTTGGGCTGCAACATTGGCACATTGTGTTGTCATTTACTGTTGGGCTGCAACATTGACACATTGTGTTGTCATTTACTGTTGGGCTGCAGGCACATTGTGTTGTCATTTACTGTTGGGCTTCAACATTCGCACATTGTGTTGTCATTTACTGTTGGGCTGCAACATTGACACATTGTGTTGTCATTTACTGTTGGGCTGCAACATTGGCACATTGTGTTGTCATTTACTGCTGGGCTGCAACATTGACACATTGTGTTGTCATTTACTGTTGGGCTGCAACATTGACACATTGTGTTGTCATTTAGTGTTGGGCTGCAACATTGGCACATTGTGTTGTCATTTACTGCTGGGCTGCAACATTGACACATTGTGTTGTCATTTACTGTTGGGCTGCAACATTGACACATTGTGTTGTCATTTACTGTTGGGCTGCAACATTGGCACATTGTGTTGTCATTTACTGCTGGGCTGCAACATTGACACATTGTGTTGTCATTTACTGTTGGGCTGCAACATTGACACATTGTGTTGTCATTTACTGTTGGGCTGCAACATTGGCACATTGTGTTGTCATTTACTGTTGGGCTGCAACATTGACACATTGCGTTGTCATTTACTGCTGGGCTGCAACATTGACACATTGTGTTGCATTTACTGTTGGGCTGCAACATTGACACATTGTGTTGTCATTTACTGTTGGGCTGCAACATTGGCACATTGTGTTGTCATTTACTGCTGGGCTGCAACATTGACACATTGTGTTGTCATTTACTGTTGGGCTGCAACATTGACACATTGTGTTGTCATTTACTGTTGGGCTGCAACATTGACACATTGTGTTGTCATTTACTGTTGGGCTGCAACATTGACACATTGTGTTGTCATTTACTGTTGGGCTGCAACATTGACACATTGTGTTGTCATTTACTGTTGGGCTGCAACATTGGCACATTGTGTTGTCATTTACTGTTGGGCTGCAACATTGACACATTGTGTTGTCATTTACTGCTGGGCTGCAGGCAGATTGTGTTGTCATTTACTGTTGGGCTGCAGGCACATTGTGTTGTCATTTACTGTTGGGCTGCAACATTGGCACATTGTGTTGTCATTTACTCTTGGGCTGCAGGCACATTGTGTTGTCATTTACTCTTGGGCTGCAGGCACATTGTGTTGTCATTTACTGTTGGGCTGCAGGCACATTGTGTTGTCATTTACTGCTGGGCTACAACATTGGCACATTGTGTTGTCATTTACTGTTGGGCTGCAGGCACATTGTGTTGTCATTTACTGTTGGGCTGCAACATTGGCACATTGTGTTGTCATTTACTGTTGGGCTGCAGGCACATTGTGTTGTCATTTACTCTTGGGCTGCAGGCACATTGTGTTGTCATTTACTCTTGGTCTGCAGGCACATTGTGTTGTCATTTACTCTTGGGCTGCAGGCACATTGTGTTGTCATTTACTCTTGGGCTGCAGGCACATTGTGTTGTCATTTACTGTTGGGCTGCAGGCACATTGTGTTGTCATTTACTGTTGGGCTGCAGGCACGTTGTGTTGTCATTTACTGCTGGGCTGCAACATTGGCACATTGTGTTGTCATTTACTGCTGGGCTACAACCTCTAGGCCTTTTGTTCTGCAGCATGACTAAAGAATTTTCCTGTTGAGTTTACAACCATGAACATGAAGAAGATGAATGGCTAGACTTGATGGCCGTAATGTGCATGTCGAAGACACCTGAAAGACACTGGAAATAGTAATGTTAGACAGAATGGCATCATGGCAGAGAAGAATATGTGCATGAGACATTGACAGTACAAGAGGTCTGCCATCCAGATTCATATTTTGTCATCTCAGAATGTTATGGTCAATCGATAGGTAGCTGCTCAGAGGGAGCAAACTGATCGATCGATCATTCAGTACAAGAGACAGCATCTGTACACATGCAGACCAATGCCACATAGAAAAGACTATAAAAAATATGAATATTTGTTCACCTATTTCGTTTAGTCTATATTTTAATTCTACTGTGTTTTTACAGTTGGTCAGAGCTGTACTGAGTTTTCAAGTCCTATGTTGATAGATACTTCTAGCACAAAAGTAGGCACCATTAAGATGCCAGATACTGGTGGGAGGAAATACCAAAGGTATGTGTTTTCTCATGCATGCATAGAAATAAGACAGACAATCTTATCTGTAATAAGACTATTTTTATCAGTGACTGCTAAATCTGTTCTTCTTGTCTGATTTAAAACATTTCCTGTATATTTCCGGGCCTCATTTTGGGGAGAAAAAAAGAATAGACCCACTGTGCCCCCCCCCCCCCCCCCTGCCATAACAAGCATGTCATAAAAGTAGATCAGTTAGGGATATATCCTTCCTTCAAAGTTGAAGAGCATCTGTCTGGTAAGCAAGAGACCAACAGTAAAATGGATTTGCCTGCAGAACTCAAGTTCTGGACACAATCAAAACTGTTCACCAGAGTTTACAGCCAGTGAATGCCAAGAAGAAGATGATTAAGCTCTTCCTTCTTGTTGCACATTGCAAGAAACAAGATGTGTGTGTTGAATGTGTGCCTACCTGCATGCATGTGTGCATGCTTTTGTAGCAATCATATTTGTAAGGGTGTCATGTCCTGCAGTTTGTTCATATGTGTTTTATTATGAGTGAGCACTAGCAGTATTTACATCACAAATTGCTGCGGAGGCTAACCTGGGTGAAAAAATTGGATGTGTGGGCTAAAAGGTCAAATATCGAAGCCGTACTGAAAATCAGTCAGCGCCTGTGGCTTAGGTGTTGCAAACATGCTTTATGCAGGGGTGCCGGGTTTAATCCCAGCTGTGGACAGTTTGTCTTGCATTGGTTTTGACAGTGATTTCAAGAGCAGACTGTTCAGAAAGCAGCAAACCTATTGAACATACAATTTGTCTAGAAAAACCACAAGAGCCAAAAAGGTCTAGTGTTAGTTTTGCAATGTTCTGAACAGGATACGCAGCTAACTTTTAACTGAAAACGAGCAAAATGCAGTTACTTCCTCTGATGAATGCAGAAAAAGAAGAAGAAGAAGTCAATAAAATCTTCAACATGTTTCACAGCTTCTGACATATGAACTCAGAATTCCTGGCAGTATACAACTATTATGTCCAAGTCTTTAAAAGCCTATCAAGTATAAGCTGATTCCAGTTACTTTTACTAGTAATGTCTGGTAATGAGAAACCCTTACTGGCACAGAAGTATTAATTTTGGCGCTATGCCAAAGTCACCGGAGTGCAGTTGGGCAAATTTCCCACCTAAGTGCATTTTCAGGGCTGTTTTTAATCACTTTACAGTATGACAGGAGTCACACACACACACACATTTTTACCCCTATTAGGTTAAAATAAAGTATTATTTTTCACACACTATGCAGTTCTGTGATTAGAAAAAAAAACACTTTAAAATATCCTGACGACTGGAAAGATCACTGGTAGAAGAGGCAGAAGCAGACCAAGAGAAATGATAGTGGATGGCTTAAGATAGTGGCATGGAGGAATATCATCAGTAGAATTGATCCAGAACACCAAAGACCAAGGTCTGTGAAGATGCATGAACGCAAGTCACTTGATTATAATTTGGCCTAGGGAGATTTCATTGTTCAGAATCGCTTCTCTCGAAACAAGAATTTCCCATTTAGGTGACTTTGGCCATGTGCCAGAGATATAATGTACAATTTGTACTAATGTACTTTAATACACCATGTCCAGTAACCAGGTGTGCCAGTGGATAATAGAGACAGAAGTCGGCTATTGCATCCAGCTGGATGTGACCAAGTGCACACTTGAGGGCAGAGACATTTATGGGGATTGTAACAACGACTATGTGGATGTGTTTGATTGTAAGTAGATAAGTACAATTATCTTTGTGATTGTGAGCAGACAAACAAATCAGTCTGATTGATTGTAAGTAGAGAAGCAAATCAGTGTGTGTGATTTTAATCAACAGGTAAAGCAGATTGGTCTGTTTGATTGTAAATAGACACACAATTCAGTCTGACTGATTGCATTTTGACAGATAAATCAGTCTGACTGATTTTAAGAAGACAAAGAAATAAATATGTTTCATTGTAAGGAAACAAAGGAATGTCTCATTGTAAGTAGAAATACAAATAAATCTAGCTGATTGTAAGTAGACAAACACATCAGTCTGTGTGATTGTAAGTAGACAAAACACATCAGTCTGTGTGATTGTGAGTAGACAAACAAATCAGTCTGTGTGATTGTGAGTAGACAAACAAATCAGTCTGTGTGATTTTAAATAGACAAAACACATCAGTCTGTGATTGTAAGTAGACAAAACACATCAGTCTGTGTGATTGTAAGTAGATGAACAAATCAGTATGTGTTTTTATGAGTAGACAAAACAAATCTGTGTGATTGTAAGTAGTAGACTAAACACATCAGTCTGTGTGGTTGTAAGTAGACAAACAAGAAGACAAACAAAACAATTTGTGTGTTTTAAGCAGAGACGCAAATCAATCTGTGTGATTTATAAGTAGACAAAACACATCAATTGGTGTGATTCTAAGTAGCAAACTGTCCTTCTTTATAGGAGAGTGATAGACTTATAAGTAAACAATCACTACCGAACTCAGGAATGCCAAAAGACTGCAGAGGTGGTTCGACTATTTTTATCTAGGGTTTTATCCCAGCATAGTATTATATAAGTAGACAGCAGTTCCTGTTGTAAGAACTAGATGGTAGGTGGGACCCACTGAAATAGAAACTGTGGACATCTGAGAAATATCTAGTTAAAGACCCTCCAACAATATATATATATATATATATCGCCCCTAATCATGTTTCACTGTAAAGATAAAGAAGCATTCTTGTAGAACCACAGTACGTACATATAGCTAAAATAATAAGAATGAAGTGGACATTTCAACATTTACTGATCATACTGAAACAACATCTATCAATCATGAACTATAACCAGGGCCAGAAATCTAATGCATTTCTAGGCCACTATAGTTGACAAGCCTATGGGACACAGAAAACATAAGATCAAGAGTATGAAACAATTTGCACCTATAATTATAAAATCTTGACGTTTTTGTTTATCTGACGTACATCAGAACTTTCTTCACTTAAAGTTCCAGAGTGCTCCATTTAAAGGCTTATGCATGAACCTCTTGATATTGGTTCCCTGGATCAGGAAAGCATTTCAGCATCATGAGCAGACATTTAATGTCATTCAGACACTCAGTCCGCAGGTTCAGTTTCTGAGTTCTGCTGTTTTCTTGAATAAGACTGTTGTAATTGCCTATACAACAGAAGCTAGAGAAGATACTGGCATTGCAGATATCAGCCAATAGGTTTAGGTTCTGTTCCAGGGTATATCTCTCCCTTTCAGATCACTTGTAGGTAACTGGTACACTCAATGTGAGATCAGACTGTAGAATGTCATTAGACAACAACGCTTGGGTTCAGGATCCAGTTTCTGCCTTTTTCTGTGATTAAACAGCCTGACCTCTCCTCTCATTAACATCTTACATCTATAGCCGAATGAAGACTGGCCATAAAGAACACAGCCAGTTGGTTCAGAATCAATAAATGAAGCTGAAATTATGTTTTGTTCAACAGGAAATAACTCTTCCTTTTTATTTTTTATTTAATTTGCAGCCACAGATGACAGAGATATTTTCATTGGTCGATTTTGTGATAGAGATCAAGGGAAGTCATTCAAAACTGCCAGCTCTAAAATGATAGTGCGTTTTGTATCTAACCAGAACTTTGAATATTCTGGTTTTGAGGCTTCATATCAATCTGTAGTCCCTGAAGGTAAGCAGTTTTAATCTCAGCTGAGCATACTGAGACAGGTGGAGAGAGGTGTGTTCCATGCAGAGTGGCAAGCATCAATTTAGAGGTTCCATGTAGTTGAAAGTTCTGTAGATATTTTCTCAGGGCTATGTTGGTGTAGTAAAAAAAAATCAGTCAGATAGATTGGCTGGTTCTGCACTATTTAGTGGTGAAGTGATGCATGACAAGCTCGATGTTGTAGGGGTCCTTTGGGAACGAGTGAACAGTGCAGAGCCACAATTAGATCATCACTGTCTGAGGAGAATGGTGCTTCAAGAGGTGACCAGAGGATGTGACTGATGCTCAACACTTAGGGGAAAGGTGAGATGGAAATACAGTCAGACTGTTACTGGTGCCATCATAATTGGAACTCTGTGCTTGCTGCTGAAAATGGGGGCGGAGAGCTTATAAGAATGTCCTGAGTATTGTAATGTTGATTCTTAATTCAACATTCACTTTTAATCTCAGTCACATTGTAAAAGTGCACATGATACAGAAGCCACCGTGGTAGTCTAGTGTGATGGTTGTCCCAGCCTAATTAAAAGACATAACACTCTTTTAAAAACCATACTGAAGAGGGTGGAGGGGGGGGGGGGGGGGGTCGAGGGCAAGAGAGCAAGTAGTAGAAATGGGAAGACAACCTCAAGAGATGGACAAACAGCAGTCTGAGAGAGTGTACAACCAGGACAGAGCATGTTGGAGATCCATTGCAGCCAGCCTTCATTGTGATGATGGCCCCTGATTGATTGATTCATCATCATCATAAACCACTGCTGCCGTTAAGCTTTTCTCAGGCATCTCATCTTGCAGGTGGTGATTTTACGTATCTGGGCTTTAGATAGTGTCCATGTTTGGCACTGATAGCTTAATGTTGGAATGAATACACTGTTTATAATCTGTCTCTCTGCACTCATAGTTATGCTTGAATGTCTTAATAATGGTCACAGTTGGTATATAAGTGCACTTGCTTTCTGACATCTGGTTTCTATTTCTCTGTCATTTCTACCATCTTGATTGATTGATTGATTGATTGATTGATTTAATGTCTTGGGAAATAAAGACAGTAGACATGATGTTAACACACCACCTATCCAGTGCCAGAAGGTCTATAAAAATGTAAGTCGCACACTGTGTGTTGCATTTAAAGCAGCAGATCCAAATCTTTTTTGACCCCAGTTTATAGAGGCAAAGTGACCCACGACTCCATACATTAAAAATAGGATTTTTAATAGAGTCAGTAAAAACTTCCAAAAAATGGATAATTTTCAGTATATCTTGCTTACTTACTTAGTCGCTTCTCTTCTGCACTGGGGTTTACCAAAGAGATCGCCAGACTTCTATATCAACAGTTTTCTTTCGGGCTTTGTTCCATTCCAGTGTTCTGTCAGGGACTGCCGGATGTTGTCTTCCCCAGGTACCCTGGGTCATCTGGGATGTCTGGTTCCCTGGTTCTTAGCCTCCAGTGGTAGACGATTTTCTCCCATTCTGCATACATGTACAAACCATCTTAACTGTGACTGATCCACTCGAGTTTGTAAGACTTGGGTTTCAAGATCTTGATGTTTTGTCTGATTGTGAACTTTGTCACTTGGACCACCTTTCTCAGATATCTCATTTCTGAGGTCTGAAGCTGGCTTCTGTGAGCTGTTATTATACCATCATTACTATGAATTTTTTCTTCCCCCTTTTTAAAACTGCTTTAGCTCCCCAATACCCAGTAACCCCACAGAAAACCCCTCAAGATCCCATTTGGAGTCGCGACCTATGCTTTTTTTCTTCTTCTTCTTGTGTTCACTTTCTGATTTACACCGACAGACAGGTTCTTGTGATAAACTTGACTGTTTTTATGAGTTCATTTTTAGTCCCATACAACTTTGTGTACAGTGGTGATTCACTGGGCAAGTATTCATTTCTTAATGGTCTGAACAAGGGACAGTCTTGCAGGACATGTTCTGTAGTCTGCACACATAGCCCACAAGGGCAAAAAGGTGAACTACTTAGACAAAGCCTGTGCATATGCTGGTTAAGTTTGTTATGTCCTGTCCTGAGACGTAGGTCAATGACCTGCCCATGCCGGTCAAGTAAGTGGTAGTCATCTCTGGCCAGACTCTGTTCACTTCTAATAGCCTGGATGGCCCTTTTCTTCTCATAGTATGTTACTGCATTCTCTTCCTGGTCACATTCTGCCCCTTTTTTAGCAAGTTTATCTACGGTTTTGTTTCTGGTATACCACAGTGGGATGGCACCCACTGGAGTACAGTACACTTTTGGGCAGCCACCTTGCCAAGTTCAGATCTCAAGTGAGGGAGTTTGCCACTCTTGAGGGCTTGAAGCACTGATAGCGCATCTGTGAATATGACCACTTGGTGGCAGTCAGAACTGGTATTGTGTAACATTTCGGCAGCCTGCTCTAGTGCTACAATCTCTGCTGTGTAGTTGGAACACCTATGCTTTGAGAACCCGTGGCTTAATGCATGAAAGGGATCATTTTAGAGTACTACAGTGGTTAGTTCTCTGGCCTGCTAAGAGTGCGTTCCCGATTTAATCCTCAGATGAAAGGGCAATATATTTCTTCGACCAGTGTTTCTCTGAGTTGACCTGGCCTAAAAAATGTGTACCAGACAATTTTCATCCCTGTATGGGTTCCGGGGCAACTTTTTCTGAGAATAAAGAAAGACCCACTGCACACTAAAAGCATGTCGTAAAAAGAGACTAATTAAGGATGTTTCCTTCGAAGTCGAAGTGAATCTGCCTAAGAGGTGAGGAACCAATATTCTGTATACAGATAAGACTCTAGTTCAGACGTGGAAAAAAAAACCAGAGTGAATTTGCCTAAGAGGTGAGGAACCAACATTCTGTATACAATTAAGACTCTAGTTCAGACGTGGACAAAAAACCAGAGTGAATTTGCCTAAGAGGTGAGGAACCAATATTCTGTATACAGATAAGACTCTAGTTCAGACGTGGACAAAAAAACCAGAGTGAATTTGCCTAAGAGGTGAGGAACCAACATTCTGTAAACAGATAAGACTCTAGTTCAGACGTGGACAAAAAAAAACAACAACCAGACTTTCCCACCAGAGTTTAGCCTGTGAACATGAAGAAAAAGAAGGCGAAAAGACAATTTTAACACAAAAAGATGGCAAGGAAGGGAACTATCACCAGAGTTTAGCCTGTGAACATGAAGAAAAGAAGAAAAAGAAGGCGAAAAGACAATTTTAACACAAAAAGATGGCAAGGAAGGGAACTATCACCAGAGTTTAGCCTGTGAACATGAAGAAAAGAAGAAAAAGAAGGCGAAAAGACCATTATAACACAAAAAGATGGCAAGGAAGGGAACTATCACCAGAGTTTAGCCTGTGAACATGAAGAAAAGAAGAAAAAGAAGGCGAAAAGACCATTTTAACACAAAAAGATGGCAAGGAAGGGAACTGGCCACCCTGTCTTGTTGTATGTTGTAACCTAGAATATGTGAAACCCTAATATTTCACACCCCCAGTGATCTTTAGACTAAGATGAAGAAACTGATGACATTTATTTATTTCACTACAGTTTTAATGGATTCAGAACATTTGCTATAGTTTTATATCAATATTAAGTAGATGTGTCCAATATATACACAAACACACACACACTTTTCATCATCATCATCTGCTCTGAGGATAAGCTGAAGAGGTTATATTTAACTTTCTCAGATCACAAGAATTATTGAATAGGTCAGTGTTTTTGTCCCATCCATGTGGCCATACAGTGCAGGGATGTATCTCCTTGCATTCCACTTGCTCTTTTCCATCCTTTTTGCCAGTGGTCACCAAGTTCTCAGGTCAATTCTTTCTTCTAGACTATACCTTTCAGACACTTGGATGATGAAGCAGACTATATCTATTTGACTGTAGTCATGGATTATTAAAATGTACCATACTTTATACATTGTACATCTACATTTTGGACTTGAATAATAAGCTGATGACATTTTGGAATAGTCTGTGATATTGAGAAAGTCTAAATGAAAAGAGAAATACTGACAGAAATTTAGAGAGAGACTGTTGAATTCTTTTGGCCTCATTAACTTTTCAGGCTCTGTGGCTAAGTCGATGCGAGACGATATCGCTTCTGAATGCCGGGATGGATTATTAAAAATGTACCAGTTTTGGCATTGTACATCGTTGGTTTTGACAGTGGTATCAAGAAAGCCGATGACATTCCAGTAAAGCAATGGCAAACTACTGGACGTAAATTTGCAAAGAGAAACCCCACAACAGTCAGGGGCTGTTAGGGTTGGTTCTGCAACGTCCTGTAAAGGATACGCAACTAACATTAAAAGAAATAACATGCTTTTAAAAATCTTGTGGAAGGGAAATGTCGAGAGCAAGAGGTAGACAATGATATAAATGGAAAGACAGCATCAAGAGATGGATAAACAGCAGTCTGAGAGAGTGTACAACCAAGACAAGAGACAGAACGTGTTAGAGATCCATTATAGCCAGCCTTCATTGTGGAGACGTTTTTGATTAATTGACTGAGTCATCGTGGATTCTCAATATTTGTCATATTTGATACACTATGAATCTACTTTTTGGCCTCGGTTAATGAAGCTGATGATATTTTTGCAACTATAGTTTTCATGAATTTTGAATACCTACCATATTTTCATATTCTATACATTTACTTTTCAGATTCTGATAATGAAAATGGTGAAACAAAGATGTTGGGAATGGCAATCGGAATTTCTGTTGGGGTGTTTGCACTTTTAATGGCAGCTCTAACTATTGTGTTGATCGTTCGCTACAGAAGGAAGAAAGCTGCCACAAGAAATAACACTCAGCCGGCAGATGCTAATCAAAATAATTATCACCCTGACATGGGTCTGCCTGGAGGGAACCTATCGTCAGATCCATCTCACTGTGCCGACAGATATGGCATCTATGTTCACTTACATGTTGATGGATCCAGCGAAGTGGACCCTCATTCCAGAAATGTACTCTCGCAGTCTGTGATTCCGAGTAACTTTCATGACGATCCTCGAAATTTTAGAAGTGTGACGCCCCCTCCAGCATATGACAGTTTGGACTATGTTAATGCTGGATACAATCGCATGTCCTTGTCGCCCCCTCCTTATGAAGCAGTTGTAAAATATTGTAAAGAATCTTCCAGTGCATAAAATAATTTGTGAAAGTGTTTGAAGTTATGAAGTTTGTGTTGGCTGTTCCTTAACCTTCACGATTGTTGACAATCTTCACGTTCTTTAAGCTCATGACTGTGATACATTAGTGATTTGCTGGTGATACAGGTGAAACAAGATTACTGTTTGTGATAGTTATTTGTTCACAGTGACATGATAAACAATCTTCAGATATTGATATTAATTAAATATTGTACAGAAATTAGACATGCCTGAATTACAAGTTTAGAACAGGACATGAGTGTTCATGTACGCAGCCCAAAATAGGATTCAAGCTTATTTTTTTTTCTACTGTTTATCTATGTTTGCTTATGAGAACTTTGTTCTGCAAATACGAGAATTGGACTGGATGTGGTCGGTCTGAGTCTGGAAAAGTCTGAGAGTGCAGCATTACTTTGTGCTGGTGAAGTTATTGGAGATAATTTCACTTGTTATTTTCATAAAGAACAACACTGGGAGCTGATGGCCAAGGAGACAGAAAGCTGTCATATCCAGTTCGCAGTCTAAACACAATGGTCTCTTTCTTTCATCAGAGGAGTTTGATTAGGTCTATGCTATTGTCTTCTAGATGGGAAGTGTTTCAGTTGGTTCTAATGGCTGTCTTGATGTAGGTTTTATTTTTATTGTGCATCCTCCTTCATTCTGTTCTGTAAGGCTCCATATTTTTTTTTTAAGTATTGGCTCACTAACCCAAATCTATACACTACAAGACAACCACTTAGGCAAGTATTTTTATGGCTCTGTCTGAGAGAAAAGATGATTCCCACAGCGTCCATAATTGATCGTATTTTTGCTGTAATAGTAACAAACGGACATTGCTGGATAGTTTCCTTGATTCTTATCTACTCAAAACCACTGTGCCTCCAAAGATGCAAGTGACATTTTACAAGGGTGTGATCAACTCAGGATGTTCATTACACCAACAGTCCAAGTCACAGCAAGGTTGTATAAACAAACTTGCAAATAGCAATCAAGATATGTGATACTAGAATTGAAAACAGGAGAGCAAAGGAAACATACAGCATGGCTTAGTTCCATCAAGCAATATTAAAATACACTAATATCATTATTATGCATGTTTTAAATAACAAGTGAAATGGTTCAGCCATTTAATTTTACTTCTGACAGACAGTATACCACAATGAGCAGATGATGTCTAAGATCAAGTAGATTTCACACAGTATATCGTAGTGAGCATTGATGTATATAGATCTAGAGTATCTCACACAGTATACCTTACTGACCATTGATGTAGAAGATCAAGCGTGTTTTTCACACAGTATACCTTAATGAGCATTAATGTATATAGATCTAGAGTATCTCACACAGTATACCTTACTGACCATTGATGTAGAAGATCAAGCGTATTTTTCACACATTATACCTTAATGAGCATTAATGTATATAGATCTAGAAAGAAGTTCAAGTGGATAGTTGTGTGCTAAATGAGTTACGACTAGTCAGCACCCTACCAGGTGTCTAGCAGGTACCCTTCCACTTCCTCTCTAAGAAACAGAAATCGACGACGATGACACTGTCATACATTTTATTCAACAGGATACATGACACAAATGCAGAGACGTAGTTATTGATCACAGTTGACATTCGCACATAATTCATTTGTCCTCACTCGCTCTCTCTCTCAATTTGTAGCGAGTTCTCCTTGACCACTACAGCTCCAAGGACTACATCGTCCCACACTCTGGACGCGCCGTACAGCAGAACAGGACGAATTCTCCCATTCACTTAACCTTGATATTATTTCAGCATATAACACAGCTGACTGGAGATGGACTTCCCTTGCCGTACTCCGAAAACACACAGCTGTCGTCAGCTTGCCGAAGGGCTCCGATGACCGACAGGACTTCTACCATAAGTCCCTTCTAGCACACAGCTCTCGTCGGCACCACTCCCCCCTGTTCTGGTTCACCAGTGGTTCTCCTACATCTCACTACATCGCCACCCAGAACAGGTACTACTGGAGCCTTCCGTCCCCCTGGACTTACTTCGCCAGCGGGACCATACCTTGGAACAGTACTGCAACCTCAACACTTATTCAGACCTAAATGCCTGATAGTGTACGGTGTTCTTTATCTATTAGACTCGAGAGAGATATCACGGACCCTGATTTGATCTCTGACTCTCGCTTTCTCTCTCTCTTCTCTCTCGTCTGCCTCTGACTGACTACTCAGCCCTCTAATTTATCCCCCTCAAATCCGTGTAGGTGGATGATGATTACACGAGAAGCACGCTTGTTTGGACGTTCTTGTGACGCATGATCCCGTGGGTTTTCTCGGGACTCATGCTCATGTGAGCGTTCTCGAGGATCACATTTATGTGGTTTGCTGATGTTACCTGAGAATCACGCTGTCACTTAATTCACACTTTCTCTGTTTATCTCGTTAGCCGTGCTTTTAGCCCCCACACAGTAACCCACGCGTCCACTTTCTCTCGTACGTGCATGCCTTGTTCATGAATAGACATTTTCACTGGTCTCCTCTCAATACTGGGACCATGTTGACACTATTCCCCCAGTGAACTCACAGAGAGTACTGGCATACCACTGTTACCTTCACACAATATCACACTTTACCCAGATCAGTGCGCAACAGGATTTCACACAGTGTACTGTAATGAACATTGATGTCTAAGTTCAAGTGGATTTTACACAGTATACTGTAATGAACATTGATGTCTAAGTTCAAGTGGATTTCACACAGTGTACTGTAATGAACATTGATGTCTAAGTTCAAGTGGATTTCACACAGTGTACTGTAATGAACATTGATGTCTAAGTTCAAGTGGATTTTACACAGTATACTGTAATGAACATTGATGTCCAAGTTCAAGTGGATTTCTCACAGTGTACTGTATTGAACATTGATGTCTAAGTTCAAGTGGATTTCACACAGTGTACTGTAATGAACATTGATGTCTAAGTTCAAGTGGATTTCACACAGTGTACTGTAATGAACATTGATGTCTAAGTTCAAGTGGATTTCACACAGTGTACTGTAATGAGCATTGATGTCTAAGATCTAGTGGATTTCACACAGTATATTGTAATGAACATAGATGTATATAGATCTAGTGGAATTCAAAGGACAGGCCAACCATGCAGATGATGGGAATAAGAGATTTCCTGGAATTTCCAAATATGTGAAGCATAGAAATGGGCTGTCTCCCACTGATTACACTTCACATCAATATCACACAGTACAGGAGGGCCATAGGTTAGATGTTTGTATATATTTTCTTACCAACACTGTGCTATCAATGTCAGACATGGACACTGTCTTTGGAAGACAGAAAGAAAATAGTCACGACAGAAAATGAAATGTTTACCTTCTATGCTGGGTGTGAAGAGGAAAGATCAATTTAGGAACGATGATATCAGGAGGAGAGTTGGCACAAAACCAATACTGAACTTTATAGGTAGACAACAGATGATATAGTTTAGCCAAGTAACAAGATTGGCATCAGACAGGGCACCACGGAGAGCAATGTTATACAGGTACAGTGGTAACAGAGCCAGAAGTCGACTACACAGAAGATGTTCCTCAGAAATTTTAGAAACACTGAAAAGTACTTTTAAAGAAGTGAACTGAAGGGCTCATTCCAGAGATCTCTTCCTGTCCTGACGCCTTGAGGCATTCTATGAGTAGAGAAAAAGAAAATGTTTGTGAAAAGAAGGTGTTTGTATTTAAACTGAGCCATGGGGCTAGAATGGAATGCTTTGCTAGGCTCATAAACACAGCATGAATGGTTGCTTAGTTTCTTAATTGTTTGCATTGTTGGTTAGTTAATTGGTTGATCAGTTTGTTGGTAGGTTAATTGGTTTGTTGGTTGGTCACTCAATTGGTTTATTCTTTGGTTGATTGGGTGCATTGTTGGTTAGTTAATTGTTTGTTGGTTAATTGGTTGATTTGTTGGTAAGTTAGTTCATTGGTTGATTGGTGAATCTCCTGGAAGGCTACATTTTAAATAAGTCTCTTTCATTGGTGTTCACATTATTTGAGCTTTGAATAAGCTGCTTGCATCTATTTGAATGAGGCTGATACGAACGTTTTCTCTCAACCCAGTATCAAAGTGGGAGCTGCCGTGGTGTACTGACTAGATGCTCGTCTGCAGATCAGAAGGTCGTGGGTTCAGGTCCTAATGGAGACAGACATGTTTTTTTTTTTAAATGACCTTGTCTGTCAGGTCGACCCAGTTTTAAACGTATACCAGGTACATACCTGGGAAGTAAAGGTGGCCCGCGTGATGTTGACCCCTCACCCACTGAGTGCCAGTTGGTCTATAAAATTTAGGTCTAGCCTTATATGCCCAACAATATGTCTGACAATGTGAAAAGAGTTCTTTACTTTAAAAAAGTATTTTTCAACAGTACCAAAGTAACCTTTCCATGGCGAGACAGTTTCATTCTGTCCTTATCCACTCCAAGCTCAGAAATCAGTGTGGTGGGCACAGTTGATACTAGAACTTCACATCTGGAGAGTCCTTTTGGTTTGTAACCTGGTCTTGATTCAGTTCATTAGATGGCCAAAAGGTTAAAGACGCTGGAATCTATTTAAAAAAAAACACAGAAAACTGGCTAGGATTAGGTTCCAAATAATGCCCACAGAGAAAAGCTTTTAGTCCAAGAGGACAGTTAGTTATAAATCTACACATGATGGGATCCTTGGCACCTAGAGAGTTGAGTGGAGACATACGAGAGAACATCCATTAAAGCAAATCAGCCAGCATGCCTGGTTGGCAAACAATAAACGAAACTGTCATAACAGAACATTGCCGTTTTTGATCTTATTTTTTCATGATGTACATATCTTCTTGCTCTGTGGCTAAGTCGATGCGAACGCTTCGTAATGCCGGGGTGCTGGGTTCGATCCCAGCTGCAGGCCATGCGCCTTGTGTTGGTTTCGACAGTGGTATCAGGAGGCCGACCATCCAGAAGGCAATGGCAAACTACTGGACGTAAA